TTTTATTTTTAAATTTATCTTTATTGTTGAAAATATTACATATGCCCCCCCCCCCACTTCCTCCTCCACCTCCAGGCTTCATGGCATTGCTAGTCAATTAGTTTATTATTCATGCCACAACTACTTCCAAAAAGAATTTGAGATAGCTTGCAGTGAGTCACATGAATAATTACATATTTAAAAACAGCATAAAAGCATCAAGCACTGGAAAAAGGTGACAACATTACCTGACAAATTAGACCAAGGAAAGTTACTGCAATTGAGATTAAGATATAGTTTCTTCTTAGTAGACAAGGTGATACATTCTCTGTTTTTGAATAACTCTGGAATTTTTGTGAGACTTTGTGTAGGTGAAGGACCATTACTCAGACTAGCTAAAATTCTGCTTAATTATATCCTTTAACTATTTATTTGCAATGTTATATATAATATGCTTATAAGTGGCCTATTAATTAGAACAAGAAAAAATAACTCTCTCACATGCAGAAAAAACTAGACAGACCTTCTGTCCTGCAGAATGAGGATTCTTTTTAAAGTTAAAAACAATTTTAGCTATTTGATAATTCTATTTTTAGAATATATTGCTTAAAAACAATGACAAAAACTACTGCAAATCTAGTAATTCCTAAATATTTTCAATTTATTAAAGCAATATTTATGAATATATTTTTAAGAAAAGGCACCGATATTTGCATAAGATTACGTGCATAGTACAGACATCACTTGGTGAAGACATGGATTTGAAATGTTTTTGCTGTAGCTCCAGGAATCTTCTGATCAGAGATTAGAAACCACTGTCAAAGTTAGTGGTTTTCCAAGTTATTATTGTAATTAGTTTGTTTGTTTAGTTGTAATTGGCTTCATAAAACTCATACTCTCGAGATCAACAAATCAACAGATCAGATGAAGACTGGAATCATAGTCTACCTGAATGGATCCAGAAAGGAACTTATCAAAAGCCTGTTATCATCGCACAAAAATTATTCAAAAAAGAAAATATGAAATATCAAAAATTTTCCTACATGTTGTTAAGTAGCTTGGCATTTAATGTTAGCTCCAGGATATTCTTTTCAAAAATATTCATGACTTTACAATAGGCACTGCCTTTCACTTTATATCTTCAAATTGCAGATGTCTTCTGAGAACCTTCTCAAAGTGCTAGGAGATTCTTTAGATTATATGTTAGTCAAACATGTAGACTTTGAGGGGAAAATGATACTCTGTACTTTATAAAGTCAAATGAAATTATGATTTTTCAAACTTTTACCAAAAAAAAGAGTATGCTGAGGTAAATTCTTTCTCTAAATGTTTGTTTTATCTACTGCTACTATATCACAAAGCACATGCTATAAATTTATTCTGTGATAGAATGTCTTCTTAATATTTTTATAATTCAAAAGGTAATGTTCACTCATAATTCTTTAGCTCACCTTCATTTCTTAATGTTGGTAAAATGTAAAGAATTTGAGAATCTCTCTTGGTGTGTTTTAAACATATACACATACATGCCCTCAAAACATGTCAAAATACACAGTGAAAGAATGAAATTATTTTTTCCTTCACAAGCCAGCACTTCTGAATCAGCGCTCAGTATCATTGTTGGACATCTTGCATCTCACAGATTATTTGTACTGTGATTCAACATAGATGCTGAACCCTGAGAATCTACTACTGACTCAAGCTCCTTGAAGGCAGAGGCAGTTTCCTACTGAGCCTTGTATTTAGCATAATCTGTGTTCAAAGAATTAAATTAAATTAAATATAAATTCCTATCCAAGTATAAAAGAAGATAGGTGCCTCTTGTTGTCCTCTCTACCCTTTCAATCCCATATTCCCACCCTAATCCTATCCCTAACTCTACCCTCAGTCATAATAAACTTTTGGTTCCCACCTGCTTCTTTCTGGACTAGCCTTTGGCCTTTTGCAAATAATATTCCATTTTTCTGAATTATCCTTCTCCACTTTTTGCCTGGCTACATAATATTCATTTTTCAGGTCTATCCTTTTTTTTTTTTTTTTTTTTTTTTTTTTTTTTGCCTCTTCTTTGGGAATACACACACACACACACACACACACACACACACACACACACTAGAGGGTTGTCCCTCAGCCCAGCCTGCACCCTCTCCAATTTGGGACCCTTCGAGGGATGTCCGACTGCCCGTTTAGCCTGATCCAGATAGGATCCAGCCTAAACGGGCAGTCGGACATCCCTCTCATAATCCAGGACTGTTGGCTCCCAACTGCTCACCTGTCTGCCTTCCTGATTGCCCCTAACCACTTCTGCCTGCCAGCCTGATCACCCCCTAAGCACTCCCCTGCCAGCTTGATTGATGCTGAGCTGCTCCCTTGCCAGCCTGTTTGCCCCTAACTGCCCTCCCCTGCATACCTTGTCCCTCCCAACTGCCCTTCCCTGCTGGCCATCTTGTGGTGGCCATCTTGTGTGTTGGAGTGATGGTCAATTTGCATATTATTATTTTATTAGATAGGATTAGGTAGGATAGAGGCCTGGTGCATGGGTAGGGGCCAGCTGGTTTTTCCTGAAAGGTATCCCAGATCAGGGTGGGGGTTCCCTTGGGATGTGGGGAGGCCTGAGTGAGGAGCCTATGGGCCATGCTCCCTGGCAATCCAAGAAGAGGCCCTGATATCTTCAATTTATTTATCTTCTAGAATTGAAACTTTGTAGCCTTGAGCAAAGGCCAAGGCAGACCAGGGTTGTGGGAGCTTGGCTTTCTCCATTTCCCAGGGCAACTCAAGCCTCCTGCTCTCTCCATGGCTGTAGCCATATTGGTGGGGTTAATTTGCATACTTGCTCCTGATTGGATGATGGGCGTGGCTTGCAAGTGAGACAGAGTGATGGTTAATTTGCATATCACTCTTTTATTAGATATAATTGTTGGCACTATGGCCTTGTTTTAAGTTAAGCTCTGTTGCTATGTTTGCTAAAAAACCAAATACATGCACACAGGAAAACCCCTCCCACCAACCTGCTGAAAATAAATGATCTTGAAGCTGAAAGTACCTTAGAATCAAATCCTGCAGCTGTGTTCACACCATTATCTTTTATGTAAACAAGGATAGAACTTAGGCTCCTTGCCTTCAGCTGAAAGATGCCAACTTAGCCTTCCTCCTCTAGCTCCCACACTGCCTACAGGTATGCCATTGAATATGTGGAAGTGACCTCTTCATTTTTATTCATTCAACAAGCATTGATTAAGGGTCTCTTGAAAAAAAATAAAACTGTGGATTTGGCAGCAACTCAGGAACCAGAATTCCACTGAAGCATGCCATCGTTTTAGCAATCATGAACCAAAAAATGCCAGGCAGAGAATGGATAAAGTAAAAACCCTTACACACTATTCGGAGAGTACTCTTTAAGCTATAAATATGTATTGGCTAATCCTTTGATCAAGTCTTAATATATGCTTTTCCTCATAGTAAGGAATCATCCCCACCCTCTCTTACAAAAACATATTAAAGCACATTTAGAGCCATCTGGAAGAAGACACTGGTTGATTAGGGTTCAGTCTTTCTCCTTAGAGAACAGCTTACACAAAATTACACTGAATAGAGTTTCAGAATCAAGCTGCTTTTCCCTTTTCCTTTTACAATATGTACTTTACAGAATGCATACTGATCTCTCTGAAGACATTTTTCTCTTTTATTTCCTAGTCTCTTTCTGACAGAAATTCTTTTCTTTGCAGGAAAATAAGGCTTTTCTTTCATTGCTTCTATTCCCTTGATGACATGAAGTATTCAATCACAACCAATTTGCAGATAATGTTGTGCTAGTTTCTTGTGTGTGTTTGTCAGTTTCGTCACCTGTGCCAGATTGTCAAATGCATGCCCTAGATAATGTTGATACCTTAGTCAACAAGTTTCATCGTGCTTCTAAATGGAAATGTTCTGGAAATCTTTCTCTTGGCTCTTTTTTCTTGCCTGAATCTTTTTTGGATGACTCTGAATTGGATGTTCTTTGCTTGGCCAGAGCCTCATGTTCCGTAGTACTTCCAGTTTCGGAATTAACCCTGTTGTTAGCTATTTGTCCAATCAACTTGTGAACAAGGTGTCAAATGAATTCTCTAAGTCACTGTAGGTCATCAGCTGGGAAATGCAGATGAGATGGGAACAAAGCAAACCTTCCACCAACAGGTCAAAAGGTGTCTTATCAGTGGCAGTTTGCTGAGCCTAAGATCCTCAGGTGGTTTCCACTTTCCTCTACAAAGGAAATTTGAAAAAATCAAATGATAAGGAAATGCTGCTGAGAGTCTAGCAACCCACATTTTCAGTACATTTGGGTAAAGTAGCTTGATCAATTTTACTTCCAAGTGCAGGATGGGAATACCTTTGGTTTTGGTGTGGGGAGGGACAGGCAGAAGGAAAGAGGTTAGTGCTAGTTTTATCGATCTCATCTATATTGGTGACGTACATTGCCTTACTAAAAGTGAAGTGAAAGGTAAGAGGTAAAGTAACTACAGACTACAGATTTCTAATCCCCAGATCTCTATCCACATACTTAAGCACCCAGACTCTCGTTTTCTCTTTGTCTTAGTCAATAGCATGAGCTGTGTGAGTGAGCTTGTGCTGTTCTCTAAGTTGACAACCAATATAGGAAAGTTGGCATGTCCCTGGATTATGATACAAAGATGGCACCTTGTTCTGGGATCAACTTCCTGCTCAGTAGGCAGGAAGTAGGTATGGTTGGGACAAGAGCTAGAGGCAAAAGTCCTGGGTTCGATGGTCTCCATGCAGGCTGACTGCAGGGGCATGTGACCATAGGGAATTGCTTAAAATTTCTATTCTTGCTTTAAGACTCTGTTGTTGCCTTCTTGAAATCTTCAATAATTTTTGAAGATAAGGCCTTGCATTTTCATTTTGTGCTTTCTCTAGAAAATTATGTAGCTTTAAGACATGTTCTTATGCCTGGCCGGTGTCTCAGTGGTTAGATCATCAACCCGAACAGTAAAGGGTTTTAGGTTTGATTCCCAAGAATTAACGGCATCTACCTTGGCTGGAGGCTCAACCCCTGGCCCTCATGGGAGCTCATGTGGGAGGCAACCAATTGATATGTCTCTCTCATATAGATGTTTCTCCCTCTCTCTTTCCCTTTCATTCTCTCTAAAAATTAATGGGGAAAAATGCATCCGGTAAGGTAAGGACTAACAATAACAAAGAGAAATGTTGTTGAGAAATGATAAAGCAGTGCAGAAAAATGTGTATAGCAAATGATTAGAAAAAAAAACAAGTCATGTACCTAGGCTTTAAACTCCCCCTCTCCACAATCCCCACAACATACTTTTTGATGCATTGAGAGACAATTTTGAGTAATAGTTAAGGTTAAGGACTCTACAGCGAGATTGCCTGGGTTTGAAACTTAACATAGAAAAGTTACTGTACATCTTGGTGCCTCAGTATCCTCATCTGTATTGTGGGTAAAAATGGTTTGTATTTCATACAATTGTTGTAAGGATTAAGTTATTTAATAAATGGAAAGTCCTTAGAGCAAAGGCTGGCCCTTAGTAATACTAGATTACCTATTATGTTATGGTATTATTTAATTAGATTATCTCTGGAAGACTGTCATAAACTAGTAAAACTGGTTCTCTCTAGACCACATGTGTCAAACACAAGGCCCTCGGGCCAAATCCGTCTCGCCAGGCCTTGCAATGTGGCCCGCACCGCGCTGTCATCACTGCACTCCACTGCGTTTCCATCACAATGACAGTTTATGAGTGTTCAGTAAACCATTCGGCCCGCGATTTAGGCTGGATTTTAGATTTTGGCCCCTTCTCTGATTGAGTTCGACACCCCTACTCTGGACAAAGGAACTAAGGAACAGGAGTAGAGGCAGAAGTGGGCTTTGTGACTCAAACTTACACAAGTTTTCTTTATAAAAAACAATATAAATTATACATACAAAATAAGGCAAATATTTTAAAAATAAAACATTTTTAGTGCTAAAAAGTATTACAAAGTTCAGAAAAAATTAAATATTTTATGTAATTGACTAACAAACTTCTAAAACACTTTATCTCCACACTTTTGCTGAATAATATTTGTCTCATTTGTGACAATTGTATAATATTCTCTTCTCTGAGAAAATAAAGATATTTTTATTTCTTGTGAGACTAGAAAGATAATTCACTTTTGTCTATATTTTAAATCAGTGCTATTGAGGTAAATTAACATACCATAAAATTTATCAGTGTGAGTGCATAATTTGGTGATTTTTGGGGGGTAAATTTAAATAGTTGTACAACATGTTTTAAACCATTTTCATTAACCCAGAGAGAAAGTCCTCTCATGTCCATTTACACTAGTTTTATTAAATTCTTCAGTGTTTTATTCTTTTTTTTAATTAAAAATTTTATTTATTTATTTATTTATTTTTAATATATTTTTTATTGATTTTTTACAGACAGGAAGAGAAAGCGATAGGGAGTTAGAAACATCCATGAGAGAGAGTCATCGATCAACTGCCTCTTGCACACCTCCTACTGGGGATGTGCCTGCAACCAAGGTACATACCCTTGACCTGAATCAAACCTGGGACCTTTCAGTCTACAGGCCAATGCTTTATCCACTGAGCCAAAGCGGTTTCGGCTGTTTTATTCTTTTTGATGCTATTATGAATGAAATTATTTTCTTAATTTTATATTCTGATTGTTGCTAGTATTTCATACAATTTATTTTTAAATTGATTTTGTATCCTAAAACCTTGCTGAAATTGCTTATGTTATGGCATACTTTTAATAATATGTATTTCTTATGATTCTGTACATGTAGGATCATGATGTCTGCCAATAACGTTTTACTTTCTCCTTTAATTTTTTATTCCTGCAATTCTGCACTGGCTAGAAGCTCCAACTCAAAAAGTGGACATCCCAACAGAAATTGAGAGTGGACATCTTTACTTGTTATATATATATAACTTTGCTCTCTCTCTCTCTCTCTCTCTCTCTCTCTCTCTATATATATATATATATATATATATATATATATATATATATAGTTGATTTTTTACAGAAAAGAAGGAAGAGGGATAGAGAGTTAAAAACGTCGATGAGAAAGAATCATCGATCAGCTGCCTCTTGCACACCCCCTTCTGGGGATGTGCTCACAACCAAGGTACATGCCCTTGACCTGAATCGAACTTGGGACCTTTCAGTCTGCAGGCAGATGCTCTATCCACTGAGCCAAACCAGTTTTGGCTTTACTTGTTCTTTTTCTTTGAGGAAAAGCACTCAATCTTTTATCACTAAGTATGATGTTAGTGGTAAGTTTTCTCACTCTGTTTCAATTGCCATTCACAGTTTGTGGAAATTCCCCCTCTATTTTTAATTTGCTGAGAGCCTTTATCATGAATAGGTTTGGATCTTTTCAAATGTTTTGGCTGCATCTATTGAGATGTTCATGCATGTTAATCTTTTTTTTTTTAAAATATATTTTATTGATTTTCCACAGAGAGGAAGGGAGAGGGATAGAGAGTTAGAAACATTGATGAGAGAGAATCATCGATCAGCTGCCTCTTGCACACCCCCTTCTGGGGATGTGCTCACAACCAAGGTACATGCCCTTGACCTGAATCGAACCTGGGGCCTTTTAGTCCGCAAACCGACGCTCTATTCACTGAGTCAAACCGGTTTCGGCAACATGTTAATCTTTTATTCTATTAATATGTATTATATTAATACACTTTCAGATGTTAAACCAACTTTGTCTTCTTTGGTACAATTCCTTTGTATGAGTTGATGGATTGGGTTTGCTGATATTTTAAAAACTTTTGCCTCAATATTCATAAGAAACATTGTCCTATAGTTTTCATTTCATGTGATGTTTATATCTGGCTTTGACATCAGAATAATTCTGACCTTATAGAACAAGTTAATGTGTTCACTCTATTTTTTAAATGAATTTGAATAAGACCAGTATTATTTCTTACTTTAATACTTGAGAAGATTCATCAGTGAAGCCATCTGGACTTGGACTTTTCTTTGAAGAACTAATTCAATTTTTTAAACTAGTTTTATTCTAGTCAGTTATTCCATTTTTATTGGGAGAAGAATTTGTATGAAACGTGTGACTTACACACTATCTGTTCTCACTGGTTTCAAAACTGCTACATTTCTGTGATTTACAAGTTAAGGAACTTTGATAAATTCTATTTTTTGGAATTCCCATTAAAAAAGAGGGGAAAAGCCCTGGCCAATGTGACCCAGTGGTTAGAGTGCCGGCCCCAAAACAGAAGCGTCTCAGGTTGGATTCCTGGTCAAGGGCACCTACCTCAGTTGCACTTGGTTCCCTGGCCTGGTCTGGGCGCATGCAGAAGGCAACCAATTGATGTTTCTCTCTCACATCAATGTTTCTTTCTCTCTTCCTCCCTCCCTCACTTTCCCTCCCTCCCATTCACCCTAAAAATCAATGGCAATGATATCCTTGGGCAAGGAATAACAAAACAAAAAACAAAAACAAAAAAGCAAAGGAAACCTGTGGAACATTTTTAACTGTAAACACTCTATGACTGAGTATATTGCTATTAAGAGACAACTCTATTTTGCCTAGACATCAGTGAAAACAGAAACTTCTACTTACAATTTTACTTTGATGTCTGTAAGAATTAGTCACAGACTAACTTCTGGTTCCATATCATAAATAATTAGTTTCACTTCCACTGTGCATGCACCTCCAGTGCTGGGCACTAGGTACTTTGGCACACCTTCATATAACATGAGCTCTAGTCTGAATATTTTGTGTTATGATACTATGCAGGCTAGAAAAATGGTCAGTAGGATTATTTGAAGTTAATTCTACTTTGAGACTGCTAGTAATGATGTAACTATACACAGAAGTGACTGCAAGCCACATAAAAAATATCCCATTAAGTCCAAAATGAAAGTGTTCCCTACTCACTTTCCTCTTAGTTGGAACCCTAAAATGCCAGTGGCCACTCCAATGCCAATAAAAAAAGAGAGAAGGCATGATAAAGTAGGAATGGAAAGAAACAGAATGCTCTGCCAATTTGTGATTACTAGTAAATTATCGAACTTTTGCAAATATAAAAATGTTAGCTGTGTGAACATATTGTTGGGTCCCTCAAGAGTCTTAAAAAGAGTCCATGCACATGAGGGACTCTGCAGCTTATTTTTAGAGTATCATGGTGAATGATAAATTAAGCTCTGGGTGTAAGAAAGACTGACTCCAAAAAGTACTGAGTTCCATAACTTCCTCTTACAATTTTACAAGGTGTGTACCTGACCTATTGAATAAGGGCTTTACCTTTCTCATGTGGAATAAAATTAGCAAAAGTAATTGTTGGCCTTTCTTAACCACTTCCTGCATGCTATTCACTTTAAGCACATTATCTCAATCCTTACAACCTTTTGAAATAGGCTTTATCAAAAATTCCCATTTTACAATTAAGGAAAGTAGGCAACTTTCCTGAAAAATACTAATGATGACTTCATATCATTGTCCTGTGCTGTTAATGTGAAAATAAATAATAAATGTGTCTCTATACTCTGAAACATTAAATCAGTCCCCATCAGAGAGAGAGAGAGAGAGAGCGAGAGAGCTCTTATAAGTGTGAGAAATTCATCAGCTCACCTGCAAGTCCGAGGACCATTAAATGGCCAATCAGACTGAACAAAGTCTGGTCCTGGAGTGTCTCCAGCCTACCATTACTGCTCATCAGGATACAGGTCCAGTGGGCAGGGTAATGGATGATTGCACACAATACACAGTGCAGTGGTTTTAAAACTTTATTCAACATAAGAACCATAAAGAGGGAATCATGCTGTTGAGAGGAAGAGTTCCTGGGACTTATCTCCAGATATTCTAATGCAGTTGGTCCAGGACTCAGTTTCAGGACTGCATTTTTATTAAGTATTCTGGGTGACTTTTATAGAAAGCTTCTTGGGTTGTAGATAAAGCACAGAGAAATGGATTCTTAGGGGAGGAAGCTACTATCCTACTTTGTGTTTTTTTCTCCCCTTGTGTTTTTATGTCCTGACTTTAAAAAGAGAAAATGGAAAAAAAAAAATATGGTTATACCACCTACTTGTTAATATTTCTTTTTTTTTTAAATATATTT